ATTGTAAGCGGTAGAGTAGTCTTAGTGCTACGATCCGCTGAGATTAAGCCCTTGTTCTCTAGATTTGTTTTTTTTTATATGCGAATTGGCAAGGTGTTTCTATGATTTTATCTTATTTTTATTCTGGTTTTCTGAACTCTCAATTGCTTTGAATCTTACAATTTTTTTAATAATTTCGCAAAAAATAAAACACATTCATTCCTTTAACGCATGAAGTTATTTCTAGATTAAATCAAAACATAAAATCTAAAGTTCTATTTAAATCTTGCACATTATTTGTAAATTATTATAATTAGCTGCCATCATTGGAAGATTTTGTTATGGTAGGCTACATTAGGGTTAGAGATGTGCAATCGTGAAGACGTTTCTAACCCAAAATTTTGCAAGGAATTTTTGTTGTTAGAACGCAGAAAGTAGTTTCATAAGCAAAATTTTGAGTTACTTGATTTTCACGTTACACTTGATCTTAAATTCTGATTGGTCGGTCATAGACAATGATGGTATTTTCCGAAGAATTGAATTTTTTAAAGTACGAATCAGCAGATAAGTACTTTTTTATTATTATTCGGTATTATCGTCCAGAGGAAGGAGTGTCGGTTGAGGCTGAAGAACCCTACAATCGAGGTGGTAGGCACTTGTGCTAGGTTGAGGCTGAAAAACTTCCATTGAGGTGGAAGGTGCACCTCTGGATTTTTTTTTTTTTTTAAGCACTTAAAAATAAATACCAGGTAACCTCAGTAAAATCCAACAAATAATTATCTCTTTTGCTTTAGAATGAAACCCGTTTTTCCAAGATCAGAGGGTTTTGGTGAGAAAGAAATCTTCGAATAACTCTTAAGGAAAAATCAAATTAATATAGTACAAGACGAAGTGAGCGATGTTTTAGTTCTCAGTAAGAGGGACAATCTAAGGAGACTACGATCAGGTATGTTTATTATTAAATTTACAGCTCACAATGCTATTTTGTTTTATTTCCTTTGTTGATTTTTTTTTAATATAAGTGAAGTAGGGTATTATGACGCACTTAAGAGTTGCTTATATAAAAATTTCTAGAAAAAATATATTTATTGAATTAACTATCTGGCAATAAAAAAAAAAAGAATTTTACTAAATGCATTATCTCAAAAACTGGCTAATTAATCAGTACGAGGTGTTCTAAGTAAAAATGTTCTAAGTCCCTGAAAACTCTTCCTAAACCCTAATACTAACCTAAAAACTAACCCTAAGATGAAAAAATTTTGTCAAAAATTTCTATAATAAAACTTGGAAAATTTAAAAAATATAATAAAAACATATAATAGGTGCAAAACACCATAGGTGCGTTTTATAATAATTGAAAAAAAAAAATCGACGTTTTTAAAAAATGCTGTTTTTAACTTCTTTTTTTGGGGGGTATTATGGCGCACATCGGATATGTCGAATTAATGTCGATACATATTACAGCGGGATATAGAGATTCAGTACTGTACTTTTCGAAATTTGTACTGTACTGTACGATAATATATAGTAATACTAGTCTAATCGTACAGTACTACGCTATATTGTAATTTTTTATGAGTAACAATAACAATAAAAGAAAACCTGTCAAATTGATTCACTAACGATAAACGATCCCTGAGGAATTATCTCAAATGATCAAATACGTATAACACTATTATATAATAAATATTAATTAAATTATTAGAACTATTTGATTATTTAGGTGTCGTTTCTTGTTAGTGAATCAATTCACAATCTTTATTTTATATATTTCGATATTAAATTGATAAATTAATATTTACTTTACCAAACTTGGCCTCATAACGATAATATTTTACATATTGATTAAATATATAATTAATTATAGTCTTTTCGATAAAACTTTAACTGAATTTATAAAAATAAAATATATTATAGCTAACATGCATTAAATTTATTAAGATATTTATATGTTTTTTAAACCTAGCATTTACTAATATTATTTATTAAAATAATAACATTATATAAAAATTAAATTTTAATAATTTAATTTTTTTTCAAACTATTTAACTTTTCTTGAAGCATGATTTCTTCTTTAAGTAATTCCAATTTTTTTTGTTGCACTTCAAGTTTCCAGTCTTCCTATTCAATGTAAGTTTGTTGTTCTTGGTCTGTAAGAATAGTAGTATAAGATAACTCAGATGATGTTTGAATTAAATTATCTTTACTATTATCCTTATTTAATTTTTGATTTCTATACTTTTTTTGTGGTTTAGACTTTGATTCAGGTTCTTTAGTTTTATTTTTTCTCTTTTCTAAAAATATATTTAATATTATTTAA